AAAGAGTTAAATCCATTTACACGCCGGCTGGCGGTTAATATTTTTTGGGTGATTAGTGCATTCCAGTGACCTAAACGTACAGTTTCCAGCCCATGGCAAGCTGCAATTGACCGATTGTGTACAATATAACTGACTTTCTGCTTTACAACCCACTATTGTACGTTCAAAGAGTTAAATCCATATACACGCCGGGTGGCGCGGTGGGTAATTTTTTTTGGGTGATTAGTGCATTCCAGTGACAGAAACGTACAGTTTCCAGCCAACGGCAAGCTGCAATTGACCGATTGTGCTAAATAAACTGACTTTCTGCTTCACAAACACTATTGTACGTTCAAAGAGTTAAAATACATATACACACGCCGGTGGCGGTAATATTTTTTTGGGTGATTAGTGCATTCCAGTGACATAAACGTACAGTTTACAGCCAACGGCAAGCTGCAATTGACCGATTGTGCTAAATAAACTGACTTTCTGCTTCACAAACCACTATTGTACGTTCAAAGAGTTAAATCCATTTACTACACGCCGGCTGGCGGTAATATTTTTTGGGTGATTAGTGCATTCCAGTGACCTAAAACATACAGTTTCCAGCCAACGGCAAGCTGCAATTGACTGATTGTGTACAATAAAAACTGACTTTTCTCTGCTTCACAACCACTATTGTACGTTCAAAGAGTTAAATCCATATACACGCCGGGTGGCGGTAATATTTTTTGGGTGATTAGTGCATTCCAGTGACACAAACGTACAGTTTCCAGCCAACGGCAAGCTGCAATTGACCGATTGTGCTAAATAAACTGACTTTCTGCTTCACAACCACTATTGTACGTTCAAAGAGTTAAATCCATATACACGCCGGGTGGCGGTAATATTTTTTGGGTGATTAGTGCATTCCAGTGACATAAACGTACAGTTTCCAAGCAACGGCAAGCTAGCTGCAATTGACCGATTGTGCTAAATAAACTGACTTTCTGCTTCACAACCACTATTGTACGTTCAAAGAGTTAAATCCATTTACACACGCCGGCTGGCGGTAATATTTTTTTGGGTGATTAGTGCATTCCAGTGACCTAAACGTACAGTTTCCAGCCAACGGCAAGCTGCAATTGACCGATTGTGCTAAATAAACTGACTTTCTGCTTCACAACCACTATTGTACGTTCAAAGAGTTAGATCCATTTACACGCCGGGTGGCGGTAATATTTTTTGGGTGATTAGTGCATTCTTAGTGACATAAACGTACAGTTTCCAGACAACGGCAAGCTGCAATTGACCGATTGTGTACAATAAACTGACTTTTCTGCTTCACAACCACTATTGTATGTTCAAAGAGTTAAATCCGGTTTTATTTTTGGGGTACTTATTGAATTAAAGAGTATGTCAGACAAAACTCACGCAGAGGAGTGGCAGAGGAGGCAATGTTTCAATGAGTTTATTCAGACAACACGCGAGGAGTGGGCAGAGGAGGCAGTTTCAGGTGGAGCAGACAGTGGCAGCAGAGGAAGGGGTCGAGGCTCAGCACTAGTCGCAGCCAGAGGCCAGTGCTCCCGGTGTCATCCAGCGGTCGTGTCTCCACCAACAACCCTGCCGTCATCGATTGGTTGACTCGGTCGTCTTCCTCTTCCCAGGTCACCTCTGACACCTACAGCCAACGGTCGGTGGGTACGTCAGACACATACCGTTAGTTGGCATGGCCCCGGGAGCAAGCCCACGTGAGAAATCACGTGTCCTCTACCTGCCCCTGTCCTTTGGTGTTTGATCACCCTCACCAGCGAAGTATCGCATGCTGTGGGCTCAGCCCCACTGTACAGTGAGGAAGAGCTAACAGAGGGCGGTCAGGAACGGGGGGAGACATCCGCCTCTTCAGCAGCCAGGCGAAGAAGTAATGGGGAGAGAGAGTGGCTCGGTAGCCCGGTCTAGAGACAGGTCTGTCTCCTGACCCACACGCAGCGAGGGGGCTAGTAGTGAGGACATGCTCTAGTGACGCGGAGACCCTAATTGATGATGATGAGGCTGATCGCACTTGGCAGCCTCGTCGTCATCAGGCTATTGCTTCCGCATCATCAGGAGAAGAGGGTGGCCAGCTTGCCAGCGAGCAAAACAGTCGGTGGGTTGCCCAGGAGGCAGCAGGTGGTCGCAGCAGTGTCAGTGGAGCCAAACGGCCACGGAGTAGAGCACCAGCTCCACTGCAGCCTACCACCACGGCCAGTAGTGGTGCCGGTGTGCACGGAGGAAGTAGCAGTCAGCCAGTGAGGAGTAGCGGGGGCAAAGTTTCCTACTCGGCGGTGTGGCAATTTTCGGCAAGCCGCCCCGAGGAAGTAAACGTTCAGCCGTATATGTCGACTATGTGGCCAGAAAGTCAAGCGTGGCCAGGGGGCCAATGTTGGGACTACAGCATTGCGTCAGCATTATGCAGCGTCGCCATTCGGTGGCCTGGGAAAAACCCGTGATAATAGATACGGGCGGTTCTGCCTGCCCAGCCCCACGCTCCATCACCTGCTCCGTTACTTGCTCCGTCACCCGACGTCAATCGCCCTCTATCAGCCAGTCAAGGCTCCAACACCTCTGCTGAGGGGAGTTGTCGCTCGTTCGGTTGGCATCTTCCGCTCGTTCAGATGCTCCTTCTCCTGCTACTCCTCTTCACGGATTCCCGTCAGCAGTCTTTCTTGGAGTCCGTTTCCAAGAGAAAACAGTTTGCGAGCACGCACCCGACGGTGCAGAAGCTGAACGTCCTCCTGTCCAAGTTGCTGGTGCTGCAGTCCCTCCCTTTCCAAGTGGTGGACTCAGCAGCACCTTTCCGAGAAATGATGGCTTGTGCCGAGCCGCGGTGGAGGAGAGTGCCAAGCCGGCATTTCTTTGCCAAAAAGGCAGTGCCAGCCCTGCATTCACATGTAGAAGAGATGGTGGGCCAGTCTTTGAGCATGTCGGTCTCTGCCAAAGTGCACGGCAGCGCCGACGTGTGGAGCTGTAACTACGGTCAGGGACAGTACATGTCATTTACGGCCCACTGGGTGAACGTGGTGCCGGCACAGCCGCACCAGCAACTTGGACAGGTTACGCCGCTTTTGCCTCCACGTTTGCACGTCCTTGGTCCAGCAAAAATGTCCGCCTCTACCACCTCTTCTTCCGCCGTGTCCTCAGCCACGCCACCCCCGTGCCAAGTCCCATTACCCGACCGGCATATCACATGTGCAGGGCGCAACGGTGTCACATTGTGCTGCACCTGGTATGCCTTGGCGAGAACGTAGTCACACAGGGGAGGAACTTCTGAGTGTAATGAACAGAGAAATCGACAGATGGCTGTCTCCGCGCAAACTGAAAATCGGAACCATGTTGACCGACAACGGAAAGAAACATGGTGTCATCTGCTCTACGTCAAGGAAGGTTGTGCCATGCGCCATGCATGGCTCTCACGTGTTCAATCTGGTTGTCAAGCGGTTCCTAAAAATCCACCATCCATCACTGCAAGACATCCTTAAAATGTCACGTAAACTTTGCATGCATTTTTTTCAGCCATTCCTACACCGCAAAGCACACCCTCCTTGAGCTTGAGCTGCAGCCGGCAGAACGGAATTCCACAGCATCGCCTGATCTGCGACGTTGCAACAAGGTGGAATTCAACCCTACATATGTTAGACCGCCTTTACGAACAGCGAAAGGCCATCACCGATTTCCTGATGTTACAAGCGGATAAAGGTACTCCCCTGTGTAACTTAGATGTCAGCCATTGGCAGCTCATGCGTGACACCTGCCGCTTGCTCAGGCCCCTTTGAGGAGGCCACGCTATTCGTGAGTCCTGGCAGCACTATGGGTGTATGAACGACGTCATTCCTCTGTTGCACGTCCTGGAACAAATGCTGTTTAACAATGGCTGGGTCAGGGTGCGGTAGACGTGGCGCACAGATCTCAACGCCACATGACCCCTGTGGGGGCAGGACACAGGAAAGAAGAGGAGGAGGAGGTAGAGGAGGACATTGGTGCTCAGGAATTATTGAGTGAAATGGGTAGTTTTTCCACTCAGCGGACAGGAGTGGAGGAGCAGGAGACAGCATCTGGTAGAGGAGGAGGAGGAGACAGAGGACCCAGACGCACCGTGGCAATATGCTGTGGAGATGGAGGCAGGGAGTTCCTCGCATTCCTTGGCACAAATGGCCCATAGCATGCTCGGTTGCTGCTTGCGTAGCGACAGCCGAATAATAACCATCAGACAGAGGGATGACTTTTGGCTGAGCACCTTGTTGGACCCTCACTACCGTTCAAAAAATGGTGGCCTTTTTCACACCTGCTGAGAGGGAGGGCCAAAATAAACGTACTATAAAAACCACCTATGTAGTCAGTTGGTCTCTGCCTTTCTGCGCCAACGTCCATCCTCAGACACTGTGGGCCCTGTGTGCGCTCGCGTTCCACTGCCATGGCAGCAGGGGAGGGGTGGGGGGTGGTAGGAGCAGTGACAGCTCCACCAGCAGCGGCTGCCTCAGTCTGCAGTCGATGATGAGTAGCTTTCTTCACCAGCGCAGTGAGGAAACTACTAACCAGCCGCAGCAGCAGCAGCATCAGGTGGACCTGGAGCAGGACCTCAAACAACAGGCTTGGGCCTACTTGGACAGCACCCTGCCAACCGAGGTAGACAATCCCCTTGACTACTGGGCAACAAAACTTGACCTTTGGCCCCAACTAGCTGAATTTGCCCTTGAAAGGCTGTCATGCCCGGCCAGTAGCGTGGCATCGGAGCGCGCATGTGTTTAGTGCGGCAGGAGGTATTGTAACTCCGCGGAGGACACGACTATCCACCCAAAGTGTGGAGAGACTCACGTTTGTGAAAATGAATCAGGCGTGGATTAGTCTGGATTTCAAACCACCAGTTCCTGACACAACTGACTAAATCTGCCATGAATCATGCCCCAAACATGTTATTATTTTTAACATAGGCCTCTGTATGGCCTTCAATTTAAGCTGCTTACGCTTCGCCACTCTGCCATGGGCCCCTGTACCGCCTCCTCTCTTGCTGCTGCCAGGTCCAGAGTGTGTCATGGGTCCCTGTATGGCCTCCCATTGCTGCTGACTTCATCGCCAGACTCTGCCATGTGCCACTTTCAGGTCTCCTTACACTGTTGGTGGGTTCCATTTTGTGATAGGGTGCTGTATGGCCTTCCATTACTGCTGCCTCCACCGCCACCCTGCGCCATGTGTCTCTGTCGTCTGCTCACGCTGCTGACGGCTTCCGCTTTTTAACCTAGGCCTGTGTATGGCTTCAGAATACTGCTGCCTCCACCGCCACCCTGCGCCATGTGCCTCTGTCGTCTGCTCACGCTGCTGCCAGGTCCATACTGATTCATGGCCCCCTGTACCGGCTCCTCATGAACGTGGTTCAGCGGGTTTGCATCACTTAACGGCAAATCGTTGAAAAACGCTGGGACGTTCAGTGTTGTGCGCATTAAGCCAGACACCAAAGGGCAGCACAGACCTGTTATTACTCGCTCAAGCATGGCTGAACAAAACCAGTCTCTACCACAAATTGGACCCAGACCTGCCCAGGGTCTCGTAAGTAGATTGCACGGAGGAGTAGAGTTCGTTATTGGAATTAACTGTGAGGGACTTTTAAACCTAGGCCTGTGTATGGCCTTCAATTGAAGCTGCTTCTGCTCCGCCACTCTGCCATTGGACTCTTGATAGTCGTCTCCCCACGCTGCTGCTGGGGGGACTTTTTAACATAGGCCTCTGTATGGCCTTCAATTTTAGCTGCTTACGCTCCACCACTCTGCCATGGGCCCCTGTACCGCCTCCTCATGCTGCTGCCAGGCCCGTAATCTGCCATGGGCCCCCATACCGACTCCTTATGCTGCTGTCAGGCCCGTAATCTGTCATGGGCCCCTGTAACGCCTCCTCATGCTGCTGCCAGGTCCAGAGAGTGTGTCATGGGTCCCTGTACGAGTGTTCCGAAAGTGTTGGGTCCTGTATCGCCCTCCATTGCTGCTGCTCCATCGCCACACTCTGCCATGTGCCACTTTCAGGTCTCCTTACACTGTTGGCGGGTTCCATTTTGTGATAGGGTGTGCTGTATGGCCTTCCATTGCTGCTGCCTCCACCGCCACCCCCTGCGCCATGTGCCTTTGTTGTCTGCTCACGCTGCTGACGGCTTCCGCTTTTTAAACCGAGGCCTGTGTTTGGCTTCCGAATACTGCTGCATCCACCGCCACCCTGCGCCATGTGTCTCTGTCGTCTGCTCACACTGCTGACGGCTTCCGCTTTTTAACCTAGGCCTGTGTATGGCTTCCGAATACTGCTGCCTCCACCGCCACCCTGCGCCATGTGCCTCTGTCGTCTGCTCACGCTGCTGACGGCTTCCGCTTTTTAAACTAGTCCTGTGTATGTCTTCCGAATACTGCTGCCTCCACCGCCACCCTGCGCCATGTGCCACTTTCAGGTCTCCTTACACTGTTGGTGGGTTCCATTTTGTGATAGGGTGCTGTATGGCCTTCCATTGCTGCTGCCTCCACCGCCACCCTGCGCCATGTGTCTCTGTCGTCTGCTCACGCTGCTGACGGCTTCCGCTTTTTAAACTAGTCATGTGTATGTCTTCCGAATACTGCTGCCTCCACCGCCACCCTGCGCCATGTGCCACTTTCAGGTCTCCTTACACTGTTGGTGGGTTCCATTTTGTGATAGGGTGCTGTATGGCCTTCCATTGCTGTTGCCTCCACCGCCACCCTGCGTCATGTGCCTCTGTCGTCTGCTCACGCTGCTGCTGACGGCTTCCGCTTTTTAACCGAGGCCTGTGTTTGGCTTCCGAATACTGCTGCATCCACCGCCACCCCCATGCGCCATGTGTCTCTGTCGTCTGCTCACGCTGCTGACGGCTTCCGCTTTTTTAACCTAGGCCTGTGTATGGCTTCCGAATACTGCTGCCTCCACCGCCACCCTGCGCCATGTGCCTCTGTCGTCTGCTCACGCTGCTGACGGCTTCCGCTTTTTAAACTAGTCCTGTGTATGTCTTCCGAATACTGCTGCCCTCCGCCGCCACCCTGCGCCATGTGCCACTTTCAGGTCTCCTTACACTGTTGGTGGGTTCCATTTTGTGATAGGGTGCTGTATGGCCTTCCATTGCTGCTGCCTCCACCGCCATCCCTGCGCCATGTGCCTCTGTCGTCTGCTCACGCTGCTGACGGTTCCAGTTTTAAACCTAGGCCTGTGTATGGCTTCCGAATACTGCTGCCTCCACCGCCACCCTGCGCCATGTGTCTCTGTCGTCTGCTCACACTGCTGACGGCTTCCGCTTTTTAACCTAGGCCTGTGTATGGCTTCCGAATACTGCTTCCTCCACCGCCACCCTGCGCCATGTGCCTCTGTCGTCTGCTCACGCTGCTGACGGCTTCCGCTTTTTAAACTAGTCCTGTGTATGTCTTCCGAATACTGCTGCCTCCACCGCCACCCTGCGCCATGTGCCACTTTCAGGTCTCCTTACACTGTTGGTGGGTTCCATTTTGTGATAGGGGCCTGCTGTATGGCCTTCCATTGCTGCTGCCTCCACCGCCATCCTGCGCCATGTGCCTCTGTCGTCTGCTCACGCTGCTGACGGCTTCCGCTTTTTAACCGAGGCCTGTGTTTGGCTTCCGAATACTGCTGCATCCACCGCCACCCCTGCGCCATGTGTCTCTGTCGTCTGCTCACGCTGCTGACGGCTTCCGCTTTTTAACCTAGGCCTGTGTATGGCTTCCGAATACTGCTGCCTCCACCGCCACCCTGCGCCATGTGCCTCTGTCGTCTGCTCACGCTGCTGACGGCTTCCGCTTTTTAAACTAGTCCTGTGTATGTCTTCCGAATACTGCTGCCTCCACCGCCACCCTGCGCCATGTGCCACTTTCAGGTCTCCTTACACTGTTGGTGGGTTCCATTTTGTGATAGGGTGCTGTATGGCCTTCCATTGCTGCTGCCTCCACCGCCACCCCTGCGCCATGTGCCTCTGTCGTCTGCTCACGCTGCTGACGGCTTCCGCTTTTTAAAACTAGTCATGTGTATGTCTTCCGAATACTGCTGCCTCCACCGCCACCCTGCGCCATGTGCCACTTTCAGGTCTCCTTACACTGTTGGTGGGTTCCATTTTGTGATAGGGTGCTGTATGGCCTTCCATTGCTGTTGCCCTCCACCGCCACCCTGCGCCATGTGCCTCTGTCGTCTGCTCACGCTGCTGACGGCTTCCGCTTTTTAAACCGAGGCCTGTGTTTGGCTTCCGAATACTGCTGCATCCACCGCCACCCTGCGCCATGTGTCTCTGTCGTCTGCTCACGCTGCTGACGGCTTCCGCTTTTTAACCTAGGCCTGTGTATGGCTTCCGAATACTGCTGCCTCCACCGCCACCCTGCGCCATGTGCCTCTGTCATCTGCTCACGCTGCTGACGGCTTCCGCTTTTTAAACTAGTCCTGTGTATGTCTTCCGAATACTGCTGCCTCCGCCGCCACCCTGCGCCATGTGCCACTTTCAGGTCTCCTTACACTGTTGGTGGGTTCCATTTTGTGATAGGGTGCTGTATGGCCTTCCATTGCTGCTGCCTCCACCGCCACCCTGCGCCATGTGCCTCTGTCGTCTGCTCACGCTGCTGGGTTCCAGTTTTAAACCTAGGCCTGTGTATGGCTTCCGAATACTGCTGCCTCCACCGCCACCCTGCGCCATGTGTCTCTGTTGTCTGCTCACACTGCTGATGGCTTCCGCTTTTTAACCTAGGCCTGTGTATGGCTTCCGAATACTGCTGCCTCCACCGCCACCCTGCGCCATGTGCCACTTTCAGGTCTCCTTACACTGTTGGTGGGTTCCATTTTTGTGATAGGGTGCTGTATGGCCTTCCATTGCTGCTGCCTCCACCGCCACCCTGCGCCATGTGCCTCTGTCGTCTGCTCACGCTGCTGACGGCTTCCGCTTTTTAACCGAGGCCTGTGTTTGGCTTCCGAATACTGCTGCATCCACCGCCACCCTGCGCCCATGTGTCTCTGTCGTCTGCTCACGCTGCTGACGGCTTCCGCTTTTTAACCTAGGCCTGTGTATGGCTTCCGAATACTGCTGCCTCCACCGCCACCCTGCGCCATGTGCCTCTGTCGTCTGCTCACGCTGCTGACGGCTTCCGCTTTTTTTAAACTAGTCCTGTGTATGTCTTCCGAATACTGCTGCCTCCACCGCCACCCTGCGCCATGTGCCACTTTCAGGTCTCCTTACACTGTTGGTGGGTTCCATTTTGTGATAGGGTGCTGTATGGCCTTCCATTGCTGCTGCCTCCACCGCCACCCTGCGCCATGTGCCTCTGTCGTCTGCTCATGCTGCTGAGTTCCAGTTTTTAAACCTAGGCCTGTGTATGGCTTCCGAATACTGCTGCCTCCACCGCCACCCTGCGCCATGTGCCTCTGTCGTCTGCTCACGCTGCTGACGGCTTCCGCTTTTTAACCTAGGCCTGTGTATGGCTTCCGAATACTGCTGCCTCCTCACCGCCACCCTGCGCCATGTGCCTCTGTCGTCTACTCACGCTGCTGACGGCTTCCGCTTTTTAAACTAGTCCTGTGTATGTCTTCCGAATACTGCTGCCTCCACCGCCACCCTGCGCCATGTGCCACTTTCAGGTCTCCTTACACTGTTGGTGGGTTCCATTTTGTGATAGGGTGCTGTATGGCCTTCCATTGCTGCTGCCTCCACCGCCACCCTGCGCCATGTGCCTCTGTCGTCTGCTCACGCTGCTGGGTTCCAGTTTTAAACCTAGGCCTGTGTATGGCTTCCGAATACTGCTGCCTCCACCGCCACCCTGCGCCATGTGCCTCTGTCGTCTGCTCACGCTGCTGACGGCTTCCGCTTTTTAACCTAGGCCTGTGTATGGCTTCCGAATACTGCTGCCTCCACCGCCATCCTGTGCCATGTGCCTCTGTCGTCTGCTCACGCTGCTGACGGCTTCCGCTTTTTAACCTAGGCCTGTGTATGGCTTCCGAATACTGCTGCCTCCACCGCCACCCTGCGCCATGTGTCTCTGTCGTCTGCTCACGCTGCTGACGGCTTCCGCTCCGCTTTTTAACTAGGCCTGTGTTTGGCTTCCGAATACTGCTGCATCCACCGCCACCCTGCGCCATGTGTCTCTGTCGTCAGGTCTCCTTCACGCTGCTGACGGCTTCCGCTTTTTAACCTAGGCCTGTGTATGGCTTCCGAATACTGCTGCATCCACCGCCACCCTGCGCCATGTGTCTCTGTCGTCTGCTCACGCTGCTGACGGCTTCCGCTTTTAAACCTAGGCCTGTGTTTGGCTTCCGAATACTGCTGCATCCACCGCCCACCCTGCGCCATGTGTCTCTGTCGTCTGCTCACTCTGCTGACGGCTTCCGCTTTTTAACCTAGGCCTGTGTATGGCCTTCAATTGAAGCTGCTTCTGCTCCGCCACTCTGCCATTGGACTCTTGATAGTCGTCTCCCCACGCTGTGCTGGGGGGACTTTTTAACATAGGCCTCTGTATGGCCTTCAATTTTAGCTGCTTACGCTCCGCCACTCTGCCATGGGCCCCTGTACCGCCTCCTCATGCTGCTGCCAGGCCCGTAATCTGCCATGGGCCCCCGTAACGACTCCTCATGCTGCTGCCAGGCCCGTAATCTGTCATGGGCCCCTGTACCGCCTCCTCATGCTGCTGCCAGGTCCAGAGTGTGTCATGGGTCCCTGTACGGCCTCCCATTGCTGCTGTCTCCATCGCCACACTCTGCCATGTGCCACTTTCAGGTCTCCTCACACTGCTGGTGGGTTCCATTTTGTCATAGGGTGCTGTATGGCCTCCCATTGCTGCTGCCTCCACCGCCACACTGTGGCTCCACACTCTGGTTTTGGCCCCGTGACTGCCCAAATGAGTGAAGTGTGCGGTGATTCTAAGATCGACGGCACTCATCTCCATGTCATACTGACTGACAGTATTATTTCTCTTCCCCAGCAGACTCCAAGGGCATTTAAATTAAAGGTACAGTGTTCTGCACTAATATAAAGGCTCTCTGAAGCCTAGAAACACCCTTTTTATAAGTTAAATTCGCGGCGAATATATTCGGATCGAATCGAATTTTTCCGGCGAATTCGGCGAATCAGCCGAACCGAATTTTTGAATAATTCGCTCATCTCTACTCTTGATCTTCTGTGCAGGAAAACATGAAGAAGGAAACTTGCCAACTCCACATGTCTGAAAATGTCTGACTGGAATCTGGAATTGTTCAATGTGAGTAAAATCTCTCATATCTACCATTTCCACACCAACAACCCCACATTACCATGGAAGTAACATTCTTAGCCATTAAAGCAAGAGGCCTTAACCATCCAGTGAAGTGCAAATCTCTATGGCTAGAAGCCATCCAACATACATGTGATATTCTCTGTGTTTTCCCACACATCTTCTGTGCCAATGCCAATGAAAAAAAAGAGGGTCTCTAATTGTTATCAAAGATACAAACTCCTTTACTCTGCATAGAGAAATCAAAGATCCCAGTGGTCGCTACCTAATTTTAATCTGCGACATAAATTATACAACCTACCCGCTAGTTAACACTTATTCCCCGAATAATCACCAAATACGCTTTTTCAAGAAGTTTCTCAATAAAGTCCATAAAATTCAACAAGGTTCTATCTTAATATGCGGAGACTTTGACCTCATTCCTGATCCGGCTATGGTCTCTACAACTCTCCCTAAGAAATACTCAACGTCATTACAACACTCTATCCAATCTCAAGATCTATACGATATTTGGCAATGTCTCCACACTAACGAGAAGGGCTTTACTTTTTTTTCCACATCCCACAGATCTTACTCACGCATCGACCTGTTCTTAACAGACCAATGGACTCTTTCCAAAGTAGAATCCACTACTATAAACAACATCACATGGTCTGAATTAGGATCTCTCCATGATCCGCACTATTACATTGAACTTTTGTTTTTATAGATCACCATTAGAGTGATATCACGCATGGGTATATAGTGTGTGTATAAAACTGTGTTCCATTATTAAGCGCTGCACCATTTTATTTGATATATACGTTTGATTGGAGGTTTTTGTTTGGTTACCTTTTTGCTGTATCAGCTGCTCAGTAGCGTTGTTGTGTATACTTATTTATACACCTTTTCATCTAAGTCGCGCTCACTATAACATCTTTTACCACAACTTTGAACCATTATTTAGTTTGAGCTGCAACTTGTTAAATATGACGGATGTCTTTGAATTTAGATCTATGCGCAATAGAATTGCGGACGATGTATTTTCGGTCGATCAGAATATTGATGATCTGCAGAGTACTTTTACACATTTGCAGAATTTAACTTCAGCAGAAATAAGGACTCTTTGGGACATTTCCTTCTTAGACAAATATGTTGGTGAGGGAATGGTCCCTAGATCCTTGAGATGGAGTATCCCCCCCGAACATGATGATGTGAATGGGATTGAGGAATGGTATCAATATTTTAACATAGCAGGAGTAGACATGCTAAAGTTCCTAATCTTGAGGAAAAAGAAAAAGTTACAATATCTTGATGCAGAGATAAATAAGGTTAGAGATAAACTCACTCCCTTTAAGGATAATGAGGTATATGTAACAGAATCCAATAAACTTAAATCATATATGGAAAAACTGGATAAGGAGCAGAGAATAAAAAAACGTAAAAAATATTTATGGGATCACAAAGATTATCAGGAACAACATGTATTTAAATGGCAGATTAAAACAGAGGATCTCAATCCACCTAGAACTAATATTAATTTTCATACTCCCAAACCTCAAAAATTATCGGGTAAATATAAAAATCAACCTAAACAGGGACCACAATCCTCCAATGTTTTTAGGCCAAATGCCAACCAAGCATATAATGTACCCACCCACAACAGGTATGAATCCTTAAATACACTAAGGAATGAGGACGTGGGGGCACGTAATTTTAACTGGCACCCAAGGGACCAATCACCAAGGGGACAAAACTATGGTCAATCACATCATGGACCAGCTCAATACCAACATAATAATGGACCGAAACCCAATTATTATCCATCTGGACATCAAAATGGTAGGTCTCCATATCACAATGGAGACAATATGAGTCCCAGACCTCCAGTATATTATAGTAATAATAACTCTCATGGGGGAACATTGAACCACCAGAGGGATTATAAAGAACAAAAGGAGCAAACAACCCACACCACAGAATTTTTTAGGGGGGAATTCGGCACGCAAAAGAAGTAGAAGGGGGAAGAGGGGAGGCAAAAGGGTCAACAAATCCCAAAAAACGCAAAACGTAGGAATATTCAATTTGAGTAATATATCTTTGACCAATCAAGAATTACAACTGTTAAACAAGGGATTAAAATTTGCCCCAAAAAAATCATTGAATAAATTTCAGACATATATAGACATTAGGAAATATATCAGACAGCTATCATTGAAAAAATACTTCCACAATAAACCAATCACACAGAGTATAAGCAATAGTGGTAATATAAATTCTAACCTAAGAAATGCGTCACTATTCAATCCTCCTCCGCAAAATAATTCTTACATTAATGCTTTTAGAGACACAGTGTTTAAGGATCTTGAAATGATGAAAATTAAACCAGTAAATAAACAAGATTCTGCCAAGAGAGCTGTAGAAACGTTATTAGAGAAAAAGGACTTAGTAATACGTCCAGCGGACAAAGGAGGAGGTGTAGTGGTGCTAAATAAATCTGACTACATTAAAGAAGTGTACAATATTCTGAGCGATAAGGAAACATATTCTCTTCTACCTAAAAATCCGCTTAGAGAATATAAAAAAGATCTATTATAAACAAAGGATATACTGAAGGAATCTTAAATAAGAAAGAAAAACTTTATCTTTGCCCTACAGTACCCAGACTTCCGGTCATGTACATATTACCAAAAATCCATAAGGATCCCATTAATCCCCCAGGGAGGCCCTGAATCAGTGGCATAGGGTCTTTATGTTGACGAGTAGGCGAGTATATTGACCATTTTTTACAACCTCTCGTGGTAAAGACTCCTGCCTATCTGAAAGACACAAAGCATGTGCTCCAGGATATCAGTAATATCACCACGGACAAATGCACTTTTCTGGTTACGGCAGATGTAACATCCCTGTACACAAGTATAAAACATTCGGATGGGATGGAGGCGGTTGATTTCTTTTTAAAAAATTGTGATTTTAAGTATATGTCTGATTTACATAAGAACTATATTTTAACCTTATTAGACTTTGCGATGACGAGGAATTATTTTTGGTTTGGCCACAATTTTTATTTGCAAGAAAAGGGCGTGTCCATGGGGGCAAAGTTTGCCCCCAGCCTAGCAAACCTGTTTATGGCCAGGTGGAGGAGGATGTCATCTACGCGAGAGACTGGCCCGAGCTCTCCTTTTATCGTAGATACATTGATGACATCCTCCTCATATGGAACGGTGAAGAGCAGGCCCTTTTAAATTTTTTTACGACCTTGAATTTTAACTCTTTAAATATTAAGCTTGTGTTTGAGTATAGTCAAATCAGTGTTAATTTTCTAGATTTGGTGTTAATAAAGTATAATGGTAAAATAATGACAGAAACTTATTTCAAACCAACGGATAGAAACGGCTTTATTTCAACTGATAGCTGTCATCATCCGGTTTGGTTACGTAATATACCAAAGGGTCAGTTCTCTAGGATCAAGCGGAATTGCACTAATGTGGAGACCTATTATAAACAAGCTAAGATAATTAAGGATAAATTTGTGGAAAAAGGGTATGATGGCCCTACTCTTGATCAGACTATTGATATCATAGGAAAATCAGATAGAAATCTGATGTTAAACAACATCCCTAAACAAAAACCAAAACAAATATGTCCGTTTATTACAAATTACTCTCTGCAACATAGAAAAATCACGAGCATTATCAATAAAAATTGGGGGATTCTGAAATCTGATCCGATATTAAATACACTATTGCCAGAGAAACTGGAAATTATTTTTAGAAGAGTGGCACCACTTAGAAACAAGATCGCCCCCAATATAGAGGATTTCACCCTTGTAGAAAATGTGTCATTTGTCGATGCAGTAAATACACTAATAAGAACAATCACTTTATCTTTACAACAAGGGGTAAACATTATGACATAGATGATTTTATAACTTGCACAAGTAGATTCGTGGTATACTTGCTCCAATGTCCATGCAACCTTCAATATGTCGGGCGCACTACCAGACGCCTCAGAGACAGATTGAAGGAGCATGTCAATAATATTAAAAAGGGGTACAAGGACCACTCCTTGTCACAACATTATAAGATCCATAATAATAGCGATCCCTCGTCACTCAGATTCATGGGCATAGGCATTGTAAATGCCCATTGGCGAGGAACAAATAGAAAACGGGCGGTGTCACAGCTCGAATCGCGGTGGATCTATGAACTTGGTTCTTTATACCCCAAAGGATTGAATATAGATTTCGATCTAAATTGCTTTTTAGACAACAGATAATAAGAGGAGGAAATATACCAGTACCTTCGGGTCCATATAGATATATATAGATTGTATTTGAGTTTTTTATGAGTATTTTAGGATTAAATACCAAACCATTATGAATATAATTGTATATATGTTATTAACATACAATATCGGGCTAATTTCTTGTCATCATCTTTTTAATGGAGTCCCTCTCCCCATTTCTCGTCATCGCTTTTTAAGGAGTTTTCAAATGAAATTTTATTGTGATATATTGATCTAGTATCATGTTATTTTAACCATGTGCTTTTATTATGTATT